CCTCACTGCTTCTCCCCTCTTTATCTCCAGGTCAAACACTGTTTTTCCTCCTCGTTTTTGGCTGAGATCTCTTTTGACACCCTTGGAGTGTAGACATTAGGATAGAAATTAAAAGAGAACTGAATAGTGTTAGTGTAGCAAAAAACTGGACTTAAAGTGAACTTTGAGCAAATACTTTCAGGACTCCCTGCCCCCAACTCTTCTTATGGTTACAAGAGAAATCTCCTGTGGAATCCCATTGAACACTTTCTTTCAGTCCTGTTCCATTAAGAAAAGGTTCTAAATGGTTATTCCCGATTCATGCACTCCAGTGATTAGTACTCTCCTTGAGCCTGTAATATTAAGCTGTCATAGATTTATGCTGGAAGGGGCTGCTGTGATCATCTACTCTCCACCTGCATAATCCCATCTAGACTCGCCACTTGCGCAATCCATGCTATAGGCTAGAGGAATTTTTTGAAAAGAGCATCCGGGGGCAATTCTGGCTCCCTTGGAGCTGAATGTTCCTTGACTGCAGTAGGGGGCAAGATTTCATCCTTAATCTTGAATTCAAAATAATAGAGAATCCATCACATCCTGTGATAGATTAGTCCAATGGGCCATTGCCCTTTCTGTTTAAATAACAGGCCTTCCTGTTCGCATGACTGTAGCTTGAGCTTCCAGTGATTAGGTCTTGTTATGCCTCTGTTTGCTCCCTGCTATCTCAAGTCTTCCCCCAGTGTATGTACTTTTCAACCACAATCCAGTCACCTCTAGGCCTTCTTTTATTAAGCTAAATAGACTGAACTGAAATCTCTTGAAAGTAGTGATAGTCAGACCTCAGTGCTTCAGAAGCCAAGTCAGTCATTAGCATTGTCCAAAAGAGCCACAGTCCTGTGAATTCGTTGTTTTGTTTACGAGATATATTTTCTCAGCAGGATGACTGACCAACTATTCTACAACTAGCAAAAACATCCTGATTAGTTAATAACTTTGGTTAAATCATGTTTTAATAATTAGGGATATAAAGTCCTGTTTGTTTGGTTAACTGGTTAAATGGGGATAGATGGGGGGGAGGGGCGGAAGCAGCAGCAGCCCCTCTCCTTCCCCCGCTTGCTCTCAGCCCTCTTGGGCTTGGACCCAACACCCCTCTAACATCTTGCCCCCACACCCGCACCTCACTGCCGTTTCTGCCCCCCTGCCACCACACAAGGCAGCTGATTCCAAGGCTGCTCTGAGGTAAGGATTAACCATTACTGGTAGGCATCACCCATTAAAAGTGATGTTTACCAGGTAACCGTTCACATCCCTACTTTTTTAATATCAATTTAATATGCTGCCAAGAGCCTCAAGAGATGCATTAAATAGCCACTTGGTCTTGTCTCACTCTGAATGTCACTGCTCTGAACTGTTTCCTAGGCCATGAATTGTTCTTGTGACTCTTCTCTGAAACTTGTTCAGTAGTGCAGCATCTTTTTCAAAGCCTGGGCACCAGAACTGGACAGTGTTTGCAGGAAAGATCTCAGCAGTGATTTTATACAGTCATAACCTATAATCTGTCACGTTAATAGATGCGGTTAATTAAACACAATTGGCTGTTGTCAAATGTTAACTGAGTTTTCTTTAAAGACTCTTTCTGTGTATATTGAAATCGTTCTCTGCTTTTAACAGCCCTAAAAATTGGAGAATGAGCGAATTCTATTTCTGAAAAAGCATTGTAGTTATTTTTGCTCAGGAATACCAAAGTGATTGTTTACGAAATTATTTCCTGTAACCGTTGTGCGGCTAACCCGCTGCCATACTTTGGTTAGGAGCTGATTTCGTGTGCAGCTGACTGTGGTTTTTATTCACTCAGGGTGTAATTCGCTCAGTGTGCAGGGACCTTGCATGATGCCTATGCGCCACTCACATCCATTTAAGACCATAGTGTTGATGGTTAAAATTATTTTACAATTGGAAAAGTGTGTGTTTAGTGTCGCATGACTTGTAAATAAACAGCTGAACTGATTACCAAGGGCAGGGCTGGGAAATTGCTTTCAGGCAGAGAGAATGCATAGAAAAGAGAGTGAATTTGTTGGTAGACTGTTGTATGTGAAATTCAGGGTATTGCAGTGTTGACTTGAACCATCGTTATCAGCTTCTGATACTGTAACGTGCCCATTGAAGGTTTTGTTTCTTGTGCTTGTTCACCCTATAACGCTGTCTCTTGCATGTGTGGTTTTCAAGAAAAACAGAAGCGGGGGTCTTCAAACCTGGTTAAATGGGGTGGAATCCAGACAAAGCTTTGGGGGGTGCTCAGAGCACACGGATGGACACAGTATCGAAAGCAAAACAGCACGACTTCCCAATAAAATGCAAATGCCATGCTTCCTCATTGTTCTTGCTCCCTGGAACGAACAACGCTTCATTAACTCTGCAGAGGGGGTGTTTTCCAGGCACATTTCGATTATACCTGGTTAAATGGGGTGGAATCCAGACAAAGCTTTGGGGGGTGCTCAGAGCACACGGATGGACACAGTATCGAAAGCAAAACAGCACGACTTCCCAATAAAATGCAAATGCCATGCTTCCTCATTGTTCTTGCTCCCTGGAACGAACAACGCTTCATTAACTCTGCAGAGGGGGTGTTTTCCAGGCACATTTCGATTATT